CCTTTATTCGAAGGAATGTTCATTGGTGATGAAACTTTTCCAAGAACTTCTGTATCATCTTTTCTAATATCTTCAACAAAAAAGTCAGTGTTCTCATCCATCATATTATAGTGATTTGGAAAAACATTAAGATCTGTGTTAGCTATAGGTACAGGCTGTAATGATGCAGAATGTGCAATATTGACAGGTAGATGAACTGTGAGATCTTTCCTGATCAAATGCAATTAATTATATGTAAGATTTTTATTTAATAAAAATAATAATAATGATAAATGATACATACGTAAAAGGTCCTAAATACAATGATACAACCACATAGCATACGACTTCGAAAAGTGCCGTATTTCTTATCGACCTTACATCTTTCTATAAAATTAATAAATTGAATATGTATCAATTACAAATTAAATAAATTAAATAGAATATCATTAAACGTAATAAAGGTCGATAGCCAACCGGAACATGAATATGAACAGTTGTAGTTCGATCTTCTCCACAATCAAAGCAGAAATCTTTGTCTTTGAACCATTCCTCCGCTACAGTTTCACCAACAATTTTAACTTCATCAATCTCTTTCTTGGCTTTATTTGCAAGGATAAGAAGTCGTTGTAAAATTGCTACTTTAAGTCCTTGAACCTATATAAAATATAGTTAGTTAGATAATCAATATCACTAGATAAAATTTTTTTTTAAAAAAAAAAAACTTACTCGTCTTTTCGTATCGTTTTTCACTCTAACTTTAACACTGACATTTCCACCGCTTTGAAATAACGTTTCAACTAAAGAGCTTTCGATCATTACTGCACCAGGGCCTCCCATCCATAATTGTTTCATATTAACGGCATCCACAGGTGTTTTGTAAATAGGATTGTTACTATCCCATGCTTCGACAACAAATGCTTCTTTGGATTTATATAATGTATCCTCCTTGTTATCCTTGGCAACGTTTATAAACTGTATAACTCTACGAGTCAAAAGAAATACAATATTTAGTATTAAAAAAACTATCAAGATGATTATGGAAGGATATATTACCCAGTCACAACGTATTTTAAATTAGCATTATTTCCATATTTCACAGAACTTGGGGCGTCAATTGGAATTTTGAAAGCAAATGGAAAAGTTGTTTTCCCTTTCTTTGCCGTCCAAAAGCCATTATCTTTAGGACCATAAACAGCATTAGATGGAGGTAAATTTGTACTTTGAAAAACCAATCTTGAAGATAGAAAAGATTGTGATGCAGTACAATCCCTTGTCGTTAATTCTGCATAAAATTACATTTAACGTGTGTTAATGCTATTATAAATTTTACTAAGATGATGTTGACTGAGCTGAAATTTATAAAACTCAAAAATCTTTTGTAATGCATTTTTAAAATCGGAGTTTTTTTTTAATAGGCTTTATGCATTCAAATAGAAGTTTCCAAATTTCAGCTTAGCCAATTCAGTTATCACAATTTATAACGGGTAAATTTTTTTATAAATGATAATTACCTTCGTAAGCTGTTAGTTCACAGGATATTTCACCAAGTTTTAATGAACGTGAAGTAGTGCTTGCCAAAACAAGTCTACCAGTTAAAATACCACCAGCAGTGTAAATTGTAGAATCCAATGAAACTTGTAATTTTAATTTATTAACTTTTGCGATTGCTGTAGTTGCCGGTTTGAAATCAATATTTGCTTGATCAGGAGGAAGTATTGTATTTGCCGTCGCGGCAGTCATTACAGTTTGGGTGCCATTTATAGATGAAATATAATCATTTTGTATTGGAAGAGATATAACTGAAGATGGGCTACCACTTATTACAGACATCGCTGATTTGATAAAATATATATGCAACAAATTATAATATGTTTTTTGAGCTGTAAATTTTTTTTTTAGAAACTTTGCAAACTAAAAATTAAATAGATCCAAATGATGGAAATTTATCGTAGTTGTAGTTATTGTATTGTACTAATCATGAATATGTCAACGGAATTTTTAAACCGTAAAAGAAACTTAAATTTGTAAATCAGGCACAAACGAAAAAAAATGGATTACATTAAAAAAGAAAAAATTGCATGCTCGCAGAAAAAAAAAAAAAGAAAGACTTCCGTTTCGATATGGCAACAAAAAAATCAATAAAAATAGATTTTATACATAAAAAAGAGAATTTATTATATAATTGATCATGATTTTTATAATTAAACGGCCCGATAATTCTACGAAGAGCGGACTAAAAATAACGATAAACAAAGAAACTTTATGTCACAGGCCATATACATCATGTCATGTATATATAGAGTTTGGACACTGTAGTATGTGTTATGCTGCACGCCGTGTATTTTTAGTCACCCTTAACCCCCTTGTGTTATAATGATCAACACAAGAAATATAAGAGTAAGGGGCTTTCTATATTAATAATGTTAATGGAATAATAGAACGCTTCGTTGATGAACACGTGAGTAGATATTCTGTAATCACCGTTACGTAATGTCCATGTTAGTGCTGTAGTAGTGATTAATATAAGAGAATTTATTGTTACACAGTATTGAGTAAAAAAAAGCAAACGGACATTTTTAATTGGACATGGCTAATTGGATATGTCATGAAGACTAATTGGGCTTGAGGCTAAGGCTAATCATCGGATTTCTGGACTTATAATAACACCGCAGCAAATTATAGCCGCAGTAAACTATAGACATATCGTAGATTTTTATTTTACACAAACAAATCCGAAGCTGTGGATTAGAGATCGCTACATCTTTAAATCAATCTATTTTCAAATCATTAATACAATAAGAAATAAAATGCTAGAGAATGAATGTATGAGAATTTTTTTTATTATGTTAGTTTGCGTTCGACTAATACTGTAGGATATATAAACTTTCAATAAAAAAAATTATTGAATCAAAATTTGATTAGAGCTTTTCCAAAAATCGAGCTTAGCTTCTTTGAATCTTAAAATTTTGTGGATTTCTTTAAAGTAAATGATATTCATTTAATAATTTAATTTCATCGTCAAAAAATTTGATTATTGTGAAATTACTAATTTTGTATTTGTTAATATAGTTTTGAATTACTTAGTTGATTTACCACTCTAGTACAGTGTTGGCCGATGACCTTAAATGATCTATATGACCTTTATGACCCGTCATAGGTCATCTGGTCATAGTGAAGGTTTATATGATTTTATGTTAATATGACCGATGTGACTTATGACCAAAAAGTCATATGATTATATGGCCGAGGTCATATAAAAAAAATGCTACGGCTTAGGTCATCGGCCAACATTGTTCTAGTACGTACCCATGTTAGACATGCAAAATAATGATTTTGAACTGATATAATTCAAATTATGTTTAAATTAAAAAAATCGTTCTAAGATCTTCAAATTACAGAATTTAGGCGCAATATTTACAATTACTACCGTAATTAAACTCGGAATATTTGAATAAATAATAAACGAAAAATATTAAAAATTGTGATTTCTGATCAAAACAATACTCAAGCCTAGATCTATTTTAAATAGCGAATATGATGATGTACCTTATTTTGATGACAATACTAGATGGGGTTATCGCACCTGGAAAATGTGTACCAGGTTGGGTTCGGACGATCGTCCGGAATTCTAGGTCGGAACGGTATGAAAAAGTCAGAACTAGAAACAAAAAATTATGTACGTACATACGACGTCATTTTGTTAATAAAATAAAATTACTTATTAGTTTATCATTATTTAAATTATATAATAGATCAATAATATTTTTTCGTTGTTTTTTCTTGCAAAAAAAAAAAAAAAGCGATGTAAAAATTTTATAAGCATATATTTTAATATTATAAGTTTTATTTCGTTAATTGCAAGCAAGAAACCATCAAATTAGGACTTAGTTAAACAAAACCATAGAATATATTAAATCTACTTATGTCACTTCGTCAAATGCTTTCGTCACTTTTGAGTCATAAGTTGAGCCAAATGTGAAAATAAGCAACGTTTGGCCATCTAAAAAAGATTTTTAAATTTGGTTGGTATTTTAATTTTTTAAAATTAAAAATTAATAATAATTCAGAAGTTATTTAATAACTATGTAGCAACGAAGACCTAATAAGCATATAATATCTATTGAAAGTTTTTTCATCATTAGTAATGCTATGATAATAGCCAACTTCTTGCTGCCATTGAATATTTAAGAGGGATACGAAAAACCCGAATCTCTATCAATAGACAAGTTAGCATCTTATCTATTTCATAAATTTCATCACAGTCAATGAAAATTCAAAAAAAAATATCAATCCATCTGAAATAAAGGGTGTAAAAAATTATTTACTGCAAAAAAGAGTATATAATTTATTGAATGTCGCCAAATGGTTAAAAGAAATAAACTATTATAATGTCGAAATTCAAGTTTATTTGTATTATTCTATATATTATATATGTATTGTATATTGCATTAAAATATATAGTACATATTATCGTTATAATAATCGTTATAATTGAAAATAAAGTGAAAAAAAATAAAAGTAAAAATTTCGAAGACATTCTCCGGACCATCATCCGAACCCAACTCGGTACACATTTTCTGGGTGCCACATGTCCGCAAAATTTTATGCGGTTGCTATTATATAATGCAAAAAAGCAAAAAAGAAGCCCGATTAAACAAATATGTACAGCATTTCTGATGTTTCACAAAAAAAATATAATTAGACAATGGTATTAATAACTATATATATAATTAAATTGGTCATCTAGCTTTGCATAGCTTTTTTTTTATTACATTTTTTTAAAAAAATTCACTATGAAACTATAAATTTTAATTGTATAAAATTACGAGAAAGTTAGCATATATACATTTTTGAATCCTGTATCATAGGAAGACATTCTAAGATTTATTTACTATAAATCGAAAAAACCTCATAAAAAAGCTTACAAACTATTAGTAAAAATTTTTCTGATGTAATTATGAAAGTCACAAGATAGCGAAAAGCCTTTAACACGAAAATCAAAAATCATCAATTGTTCTCTAAGTATCTTTATCATCAACAATTGTATTTCTACTGTATAGATCCGTTCTATCACTGAGATAAATTGAACTCTCATTATTGACTACTCTGTAATTTCTTGTACTGACACCAAATAATGATTCTAAGTCCTTGACCCTATTTTGTAAAATTTCAATTTGTGAATAAAGGGCAGTTTCTCTTTCGTCTCTTGTTCTTAGTTCGTTTTCATGCTGTTTCATAAAAATATTATATTTTCTTTCCGCATCATCTCTTTTAGCTAACGCATCATTCATCTACAAAAATGTGAATAATAATAGATTAGAAATTTTTCAAAAAGTATATTTAAAATTATTAAAATTATTAAAATTTACTTTTATTTCGTTTTGATTCCTTTCGGCATCCACTATTTTAAAATTAGTTCTTAATAATTCAATGTCACTCGTTAATTTTACAATCTATTAAAAAAATATAAAAATATAATTAAATAATAATTTTCACTACTTCTTATTGAATATTAAAAATTTACCTAAGCATTTAAGTTTTCGATCTTGTTTATCCTTTTTTCATTATCTAAGTTTAATTTCGTAACTTGACTTGTCAATTTATCGATATTTTCATCATTTTCATTTCTCATATTTTCATTTTCAGCCGCTTCCTGTAAATATCGGTTATTCAAATGTGTTTTTTTGTTCTAGTATACTTAGTTCTTCTTTAACACGATTAAGTTCTTTTTTAAGATGTCTGATTTCTTTGCGTAAACTAGATAGAATAAAGAAATATCAATAATAAGTAATTAATAATTTAAAAATACCCGTAATAAAGAAAATCACCTTTTAATTTCGTCATCATAATTTTTTTTACTATTAAATTCTGAATAAATTGATTGAAAAGTTAAAAGATCGTCCGCATCCGCAGCTTTGGCAACTTCTTTCAAACGGTTAAACCATTGAATTTGATTTCTATAAATAAAATTGTCTTCTTCAGGTGCGTTGTGTTTTTGATTACTGAGATACCTCATATGTCCTTCAATTTTTTTAATTAGCTGGGTCTTATTAAATAATCTATCGTTTCTTTTATCTTGTCTAGTTCTTGAAGATCCATTTCTTGTTACTCGATGGGATTCTTTTCGTTCAGTTGGAGGTACACTTCTTTTTTCTTTTTTTCTTGAAGTTAGTGCCATTTTTTTGAAAGTAACCGCTCAGAATATTATTGATTTAAATATATTATTTTAATTGTACAATCATAATTTATCATTATATGCAGTTACTCTCATAAGTTGATTGCATCCCGACACGAATGCATGACAGATTTAATCTTGTTAAAGATCAAATTGCCGAAGTTGATATCCTGACACGGATATCTGACAGACTGATAGGAATCAAGTTGCCGAAAGAATCAAATTCTTCCCTAAGAAACGAATAAATAAAGTGAATATCCAGTAGAATAAAATATAAAGAAATAATATAAAAAGACTCCCCTAGTGTATATTCTTAAGTTCATTCAAGAGATAGCGTAAAAAAGTAAAGGTTTAACATCATATTTATAATAATTAATTGAATTACCGTTACCCTATAATTTTATGATTAATTTTAAATTTTTTTGAACAGGTTTTTTGGTATTGTTAATTATGGTTTTCATTCTTGAAATACTGTATAAATTGTTCAATAACCGGGTTATAAAAATATATCGGTATCATATAAATTCGCCGCAATGTATCTATTTTTGTGAAACATCAGGAATGCTGTACATATTTGTTTAATCAAGCTTCTTTATTGCTAAATTAGCTTGTTTTTCTGTGAGAAAAAAAAACGCCATGAAAAGCTAGAATGCACCAATTAAATTAGTTATTGATAAGCTTTATTATTTTTTCATGAAAAATCAAAAAGCTGTACAGATTTGTTTAAGATCTAGTTTTGTAAGGAAAAAAAAGCCATGCTGACCAATTTAATTAGTTAATATCATTATCTATTTTTTGTAAAACATCAGGAACGCTGTACATATTTGTTTAATCAGGCTTCTTTATTGCTAAATTAGCTTGTTTTTTTGTGAGAAAAAAAATGCTGTGAAAAGCTAAAATGCACCAATTAAATTAGTTATTGATAAGCTTTATTATTTTTTCATGAAAAATCAAAAAGCTGTTTAAGATCTAGTTTTGTAAGGAAAAAAAAGCCGTGCTGACCAATTTAATTAGTTAATACCATTATCTATTTTTTGTGAAACATCAAGAACGCTGTACATATTTGTTTAATCAGGCTTATTTATTGCTAAATTAGCTTGTTTTTTTGTGAGAAAAAAAAATGCTGTAAAAAGCTAGAATACACCAATTAAATTAGTTATTGATAAGCTTTATTATTTTTTCATAAAAAATAAAAAAGCTGTACAGATTTGTTTAAGATCTAGTTTTGTAAGGAAAAAAAAGCTGTGCTAACCAATTTAATTAGCTAATATGATTATCTTCCATATTTTTTTCTATGAAACATCAGGAAAGCTATAAATATTTGTTTAATCAGGCTTCTTTATTGCTAAATTAACTTGTTTATTTATGAGAAAAAAAAATACCATGCATAGTTAGTATGCACCAATTAAATTAGTTATTTATAAGCTTTATTAGTCATAGGACTAGGGATGGATCGGTCTTCGTAAAGACCAAGACCGGACTGTAAAAGACCGAAGACCGAATGATTTTCGGTCCTCGGTCCTGAATAGTCCGGTCCTGGTCCTGATTATGGTCCGACGATTACTTACTGATAAAAAAAATGATAAATTAATTTAAAAATAAAACGCAATAATAATAATAATATAATAAATTTTTACAACCTTTTTCAACCATGAGTGACGAAGAAAATTTCTTCCTTCCATCTTCTGATATTTCTCAGTGTGCTGACGGATATGATAGTGATTATAATGAAATAATGTTGATGTTATTGACGGCTGTAATAATAAAAAAAAATCAACAGTTTGGCTACACTTTAATACTGAGGATAGTTAAACATCCATATGCTTAATTCTTCATGTTAAATTAGCTTCGCATATATAATATTTATATCCATATTTATGTATGCTGTATTTTTATGAAATAAATCTATTAAGAATTTGCTGCTAATTAATAAAAATTTGGCCTCTGATAAATAAAAATTTGACCGTTAATTAATGAACCAACAAATAAAAGTTTTAACGTTATGTATAAGTTGTGAGACCAATTCTGGGACTGAAAGACGGACCGACCGGACCAAAAAACATTATAAAATTGGTCCAATAAGGACTGGGACCGACCGGGACGGACTGATCCATCCCTACATAGGACATATCCCCTTAAAATTGCTTAAAATTAATTACAGTACTCCTTCCCAAAACTGATCCTGTCGAAACCGATAACCTGCTATAACCGATAAAAAATTGATCCACCATGTCCGTTTCATAATTAAAATCTGATAACTTGCCATTTCTGATAACTGATACTAACAATCTCAGATATCTATAAGATATCGGTTTTGACAGATACTATAAATCAATTTGATTGGCTCATATCAGGTTTTGTGTAACAGATTATATATAACAGTTAACTCTCTCTAGCATGGGGGACTTTCTCATTTTTCAGAAAAATACAGAAATTATTATTAGGTAGTTGACTAATCAGAAGTAGGGTTTGGGGCATGGGTAAAAAATCGGGCATGCTCTTTGGTTGAGGCATGCCCCTCATGCCCATGGGCATGCCCCTCAGTAATCACATGATAATAAATCATCACCAACCAATCAAGCATAGCTAATTTTTATAAATCATATGATGCATTACAAAATCTGATTTGCTAATATAGAACAAGCTTGAAGTAGAAATTATTAAACAAAAAAAAAGAACATATTTAAACTATAAATTTGCATTTACAATCACAATTTTTAACTCTTTGATCTTTATAGTCATTGTCAAATGCGTATATGGTTAAACTTAATAAAAAAAAAGTCTTTAAATTTAAATACATATATAGGTAATGATAATCTTTAGTAACAAAATCGCTTTCTAAATAGTACATAGTTTAATGGCAAAATAAAGAATAAATATATATATAAATTAAAAAAAGCTGTCAACTATCAATAAAGGTAACACATACACACATAAACGGGTATGAACAGTATAAAAGCTAAAAACTAACTATAGAACATAGCATGTAATCGTATGTATTCTATATATACTATATATTTAATATATTGTAGTTTTTAAAAACTTGGTCAAATAACCTATATTCAGAAAAATGTTGAACAACTAACTGTAAGTATTGTTGCTTCAATCGCTATATTCAAGTTTTTTAAATAAAAACTTAACACTTATTAACCACGGTACAAATTACCTTGCTAATTGCTGAATTACTTTAACCTATAAGACAAAAAGTGCACTTGTCACTAACTTCTAAATTATTTCTCCATTCTCTGAATTATTTTTACTATAGGTAGAATAGAAGACGTAGTTTCAAAATTTATATGCTGTATTCTTTGACAATTTGCTGCTAATTCATTTAAATTCAGATGATATATGTGGTGTAATATGTGACGATACATTTAGTGATTGACAAATCAGAATTAAAGCCTGTATTCTATTCATAAATCATGGGATTTGCACCAATAAAAATTAATAGCCTTAGTACAATAAAAATAGTTTCAACAAAAGCCACAAATTTTAATTTTTATTCAAAAATCTCTAGTTCAAAGAATTATAAGCATAACTTTAATTCAGATTAATAGAAATCAAAATGTTTTACAGTAAATTCTAGGCTTGTAATATTTTAATTATATAATCGTATACATTTAACTTATAATTGATATATTTAAACAAGACATCTATTTTACGAACTCTAGGTTTCAAACTAATACAAGTGTTAATTTATATCTTATTTTATTTTATACTAAAAAATGTTTTATTAACTTTGAAGAATATCTTCTACAGACCATTCTTCATTTTTGACATCATTTTGCCATACTATCGAATAATCACCAACCTTGATAATTAACCACTCTTGATCTCTCTTAAATGCCTTAAAATTGAAAAATTCCTTTATAATAAACTCCTCTTCATCATCGATACTAATTATATCAATTTGTTCATTGATTTCATCTTCATTTTGATAATTATCGTTCTCTTCATCTTAGTTTTCATCAAAAAATAAACCAACATTTTCTTCGAAAAGTTTAGGTGCCAAAATAGACCTTGACTTATTTTTGTTCTTTTTTGTTTGAAAGATATGTTTTTTAAGTTCAATTTTTATTTGTCCAAGCTTAGAAAGAGTGTTGGGAGAAAGACAGTTCCTTGATTTGGTTTTAGTGAGGCCCAAAAAAGAAAAAAGTCATTCGCAGGCAGCTCCATGAGGAACAATGGCGAGAACTTTCATAGCAAATCAGTGAAGAAGAGGTGAATTACCAGTAAATTTTGACTAGAAGAGCCTAGACAATTGTTGGGAATTGTAGTTAATATGGTGAAAAGGAGGATCATTGTTTTTGTAGTTAAGTAATTCTTTATAAAGTAGAGCTGTGTCTGGTTTAGTGAATTTCCAGTATTTAGCCAATTTTAAGCATCCACACAGAAGGCTGTTTTCATTCATATACTTTGATATGGCTATATTTTTGTATGTTGGAAAAAGAAATAAGATGATGAAATAAATATCTTTAGAAAATTCCTTTGCTCTTTTACTAATAATGGCTAGTACATAAGCTTTGAATCCAGTGATTGGAACATTGAGCTTGGATATTTTAAGATGAATATAAATCAATTCTTTGAAAATATCAGCCAAAGTAGCATCTTATGATTCAAGTTTTCCGATCGCATCAACTATAGGCTTAATGACATTCACTAGTGTATCGTTATTGGCAAAATGATATTTATCATTGATAATAGCTTTAATATTTTCTTTTATTTCTGAGTAGTTGATCTTGTCAGATTCACTTAACTCAAGGCAATACAGAAAGCCCCGTTTAAAAGCAGATACACCCAAGCAGACCTTGGCTATAGAATACCACCTTGTTTTACAAAATGTACTTAAGAAATGAGAGATACCCTGTTCTTTTTGCCAAATTCTTAAGACCTATTGCCATATATGTGAAGCTGTAAAAAATTTACAAGCTTTTGATTCTTGCTACAAGTAGGAACGGTGCTGGTAAAACCAGCAATGTTTTTCACAATTAGGTTGAACGCGT